TAATAGTAGATTTGACAATTTCATTAACAATAATGTTCCAAGTTTAGTGATGGATCATACTTTGTAACAGCAACAGAATACAACTTATGCAGGTCTATTTTATGAAATAATCAGTTCCAAGATTTTGTCACGACATATAAATAAAATATTTAAGATTGATTGCTTATAATTATGATATGTCTTCTGAATCTGAATAAAATATATAAGTAAGCATAAATACGACATGAACCTAACTATGTATATAAATGATTACTTGATGAGTCTCTTTATCATTATAATACTCGGCACATGCAAATTTGAAAGACCGACTAAATGTGTTTAGCATAGTTACGTATTCTGGGCCAATTATTAATTTAAATTCAAATGTATGAAACATGTTTCATAATACTATACTTTGTGGTTAATACAAATGAATACAAATGTATTGAAATTATAATATCAAATTCTACTCGATCGCTTGATATTAAAATCTAACTATATATGCGTTCTATAAGAGCAGCCCAGAGATAGTGCGCGTCAAACCTGCCCCGTTCAAGTTAGAAGAAAGTGTTATACACGTAGCCAGTCGCAATGAGGCCGAGCACGAGCAGACACACCATAATCATTATCTTCTTCTGCACAATGGACAAATACAACACATATTAGTAACTAATATAATATAGCGAGCGTGCGGACTCTCCGATTGTGCCGGTGAACAGCGCTGACGGTACTATGCGTTAGTCAAGACATGTACGGATTGAGTACCGGTGACCAGCGACTGGATACAGATATACAAAAGATTAACAGAATTGCTTTACACATCAGATGTATAAAACTATTCTATACATACTTTAAACAAGTGTACCATTAATATGTAATACGATGAAAATCTGAATTATGTAAGACTGAAGCTAATTCTTCTCGTTTGAAATACAGTTAAAATGTCAGTTTAGCTTGTACCATTTGACAGTTTGAGTTACAACATTTACAGATCCATCGTAAATTGAACTATCAAATGGCATTTATATAAATGCTAAATTGTCAATTTAAATTTGTTTCGAAGGAGAAGTATTACATCCGCGCGATCCAGCCGCAACCGTCGCCCGAAACGCAATATTTACATGCATACGCCGTAAATCCGAGACAGCATGCGTATTCGTCGACGCACCGAGGGCCGCCCGCTCGCCGCACGTTGTAACGTTTACCTTTGAGCATTTTGCGGTCGGAGTACTACACCGTGCCGCTCACATGAACATGCTGGACACGTAGCCCACGACGACCAGGCTCAGAATGATCAGGCACACTAGGATCATGATCTTCTTCTGTTGACGGCGGTGGCAACCATGCAACAGTACTTTTTATATGTGTCCTGGGCCAGAACGGCTCGCTTGGACGGACTCCCTTTAATCTCTCATTACACACATTACATATTATTTTGATGAGAGTAAAATAAATATATATTAAAAATTATGAGGCTCCGTAACACTCGAGTAAAACACAGGACAGTGGGTGCGTCATTTGCCTTATTAATTAGACATATGAAAAATCAAGGAAATAACGTAAATAAAAAACAAAAAAGAAATAATATAAATAAATGTAATCTTCAAACTACAAACAATATTTTACAACTTCAATAGGATTTACATAAAAGTGAATATACAAGTCTGTGACAACTAGGGTTCATGATTTCTCGAGCTTTTCAATTTCTCGGGTCTCGAGAATTCTCAAGGTTAATTTCTCGGGTCTTCTCGGGTTGTCGAGAAATTTACATTTACGTACGTTTTCTCATATTATTTGGTTCCAATAACGTCAAAAATCTCAGTGGTTTCATTTGAGACGAAAACCACTGCATTTTTTGTTAAATATTAAATATAAAATTTAACTATAAAATTAATTATAAAACTGTTATTGTTATATATTATACATATTATGAATATGCAATTTTTTTTTTAAATACTGAAATATATTTTTTTGACCTTTGTCGTACTGGCCACTTTGATCTTAAATATCTCCTCTTTGGTTAGAAATTTCAATTTCAAATTTATACGGCTATTCACTCATGTATTTGTTTTTCAAAAACCGTAATACATATGCTTGGTTCATTGGTTAGAAATTTCTCTGTATAAAAACGTAATACATATGCTTGGTTTTTTCTTTGGCAACAAAATGGAAAACTTAAAATATCGCGTCATTTACAAGTACGAGTATGAGTTCCGCCGACTAGTGCTGCAGAAACGGCTCGAAAATTAATGATGTGTATGGTGGTGCTGTCGCAAAACAAAACACAATGCATTTTTGTTGGAACGTTTTCGTTCTGGAAATTTCGAACCTGCAAAACAATCCCCGAGCCCAAGGTTGGTAATGAAGAATTGAAGGCTATTGTGATAGCAGATCCATCGCAAACCACGTCCGAGTTAGTTGCAGGTTGCGGTTTAGTTACAAAACTGTATTAATCCACTTGTAGCAAATTGGGAGGGTGAATCTCTCATTACACACATTACATATTATAATTTGATGATGATGTAAAATAAATATATATTAAAAATTATGAGCGTTTAGTGGACTCCGTAACACTTGCGATGATAAAACACAGGACAGTGGGTGCGTCATTTGCCTTATTAATTAGACATATGAAAAATCAAGGAAATAACGTAAATAAAAAACAAAAAAGAAATAATATAAATAAATGTAATCTTCAAACTACAAACAATATTTTACAACTTCAATAGGATTTACATAAAAGTGAATATACAAGTCTGTGACAACCCTTCGTTGTAGGGGTACTTAAGTATTAATTAATACAGCAAAATAATATTACTAGGATTATGTTATTAATTAATAACAAAGAAATGGCATTAAAATATCCTTACATACAGTCTTTTGTTTTATTAGTATGTGTACGCGGCAGAATATAATTAAACACATATGTATATTTTATTATATAAATAACCTTTCGTGAGATGCCAATATTATCATTTAATAATGAACACCAAAAATACACATACCTATAATTTAAGAGCTCAATTTATACATGCCTAAATTTAAAGACGATAGGTAACTTGTGATACGATATTTTGACAGATGTATTGAATGTAAAATGCTCGTATTAAATGCAATTATATAGTTAACAAATCCCTAAAGACCTAACTGTGCTATACCGAGGTCTAAATAAATACATTTGTAAAACATAAACTTATTTATTAAATAAATATTTAACTAATTAACATTAAACAAACAACATGAAGTTAAAGTACACAGAGAAAAATCTAAGTAGAAATTTATCAGCAATTGTTTTGTGCGTTTTATTAATACTTACAAAAGCGCAAAAAATCACACATCACATTAAATTGTGTAAGGACTTCTGTTTTCTTCTTTATTCTTTCCTTGTAAAACGTTTTATTACTTTTCTAATGCAAGAATCAAGCTGAATATTGTATTACAAAAAAAAACAGATCTGTTAAATATACAACTTGCATTAATTACATATATGTCGCAAATAAGAATAAATAATATTATAATAAGAAAAAATAAATCAGGCATGGCGACAATAGACTAGTTAAATTAATACGTGTTTGTATTGAAAGTAATATTCATAATTTGACCAATACTTGATCATATCATTTTTATTCGAGATAGTCATGGCTGACTTATCCCAACTTATATTTCTGAGTCAATCTACGGAGACGGAAACTCAAATATTCAGAGACAAGATGGTAGGACGGCTCAGTGCCTTGTTGGACTCGAATATGCCTACTAAAAGTTTATTAAGTCAAATGCTGCCTTCACCACAACCTCCGCAATTGGCAATACCTTTGATTTTCGCGTCTGGAATAAGTCGTGAAGATGTATTATTATGTTTTTAGTATTATCGGAAAGTTGTTTTTTAAATGTAACCCTAAAATCAATACATAGGAATTAGTGTCTATCATAGCGCAAAGACTTGTTGGGCTACTGAGATATACATACACATACTGCTATAATTGTGAAAAGGTTTTTGTACAACGCAAACCCATACAATCAGACGGGACTTCTGCTATAACGTATAACATATCTATTTTTAGCCATACCTTCAATAAACTTAACTAATGAATACTGTCGCAAACTTATTAAGTAATATATGAAAAGGAGCAATAATTATCTTGTATTGGCAATGAGATATTATAGCTTATAACGCAACTGTCAATATTGCAACATATTTCAATTATTCACTCGCAATAGAGTCTGATGACAATAGAGTCCAAAACAATAGTAACAAATATACAACATGAATATTTGCATAGAATTCTATATTCGGATCCGTAAACAGAAAAACAAAAACAAAATACTCGAATTATACTGGGGTCTATGTCAGATATTTAAGCAGCTACTCAATGATTTTATTAACAATACAAATTTGGGCATTTTATAAACTAAAATTTATGTGCCTGTAGTTTGTATGTAGGTACTGTAGGGTTCACCCTTTTCTATATATTTTTAATTAATATATATATATATATATCTATAAAGTCATTAATAAACAACAATAACTAGTTATAAAATTAAATAAAGCTACCGTTAATTGATAAATTTAGAAATTAATAAATCACTTTTGCCTATTACTTAGAACTAAATTTATAAAGTAGTGCCGTATTGTCTATATGTTTAAAAACTGTAACAGATCACATAAAGCCCCATTGGAATCGAAAGCATTCCATTTATAGTAATACAGTAAATGAGACAGATAATAATACTTACATATCAAATGCCAAAAAAAAATATTTAAATTAACAATATGTTAATACTGTAAATTTAAATACTGGAATAAATATATTTATCCACACATTATTTAGCATAATGAAAACTGTAAGTTATGCAGGCTACTCCAAAAAGAATACACGGATAAAGACCTTTTAACAAGAAATACTTAGATTTTTCACTTAGCTATGATTTACGTGTGATATATTTCACAGAAACAAATTCATAAATGTATGAACTTGTACTCACCACAAAGATGTATATCTTAGGTTATCGTATGTATATCTAGGTTTACGAATATATACAAATAAATGTAATGTGAATTTGTCGCGTTGACAAACATCACTCCTGGTTGTTTCAGGTTCGTTACATATTTGAGACCCTGTATTTAATATAACCATTACTTTTGTATTACGCTGCAACTACTTTCAGTAACGTATACACGATATTATTTGTGATAACATATTTATACTTACTTAATATTAGGTAAGTAAATAAATAGTTCTTTTATATATTCTCATAATAAAATATATCAATGTAATACCAACAAAGCTAATTATATTTAGAGGTTAATACACTAAAGCACAATCTACTTATTGCACTTTATACATATTGTCTTCAAATATGTGTAACACGTGATAGATATACTAAATATACGATAGACTGTGGAAAATATTAAAACAAATAGTTCATGGTGACATTCATCTAATGTAGAGTTAAATCTCAACTCAAATACACAGCCTTTTATAAAATAATAATGTCTGTTATACACCGTTTATTTAGTTTAAAACATGCACTACAGGCACAGTTCTTACACTTACTTGACCGGTCGGAATCCATATTAAATTTAAGAAATCTAATTGCAAAAGAATCAAAATATACAACATGAATAATTTATTGAATAGGTTGGATTCCATCGGTACCAATAATCAAAAGCGAGCCGCTATTCAACAATACCGTGCAAGTGTTAACACCAAGTATCGCTGCCGAATATCAACACGCAAGCAACGTAACATTCACACGAATAAGTTAATGATATACAGGCGAATATCAGCGTAGTAATGTCGCATCCAACATACAACTCAATTCATACACATAGTCCATTCGGACGTGCTGGTGACGTCACAGCCGGTAGCCGGTGCTCTCCACGCTCCAAATTATTTCAGCACGATAATGAGCACTATTGCTAATATAACCAGCGTAATAGACAGGCACATTATGATGAAGATTTTTTTCTGCAACGACAAAGGGAAAACAAAATCCAAATAAAATGGCTGCTAGATACATTCGTAGGTTATCTCTGATGGGGATTATAAAAATTATTATTTTTATTACTTTATTAGACGAGTGCTCCTTATGGAAGAATTGTGCAAATGGAGATATAATTAATTTCTGTTAACTTAGTTGTAAAGAATACATTACAAAATTTATTTCAAGGCATGCATTTTTATATCGATTTTTTATCTAGTACAGCAATAACAATGAATACATAAACAATTGTACATTATGATACAGACGTGCCAAATACCATAAATATACAACCATCACCACATTTAAGCTGACCACTGTAAGCTAATAAATACCACCACATGGAAGTGTCTATACGATCCGTTATAACTGGTACTTTGTAGATAATTTAATTACGTAATAAATATTTTACAATATTCTGGTCATTTTAGGTACAATATCACTGTTTATAGAGTAAAAATAATGTAAAAATTAGTAAATTAATGATAAGTCATGCGGACTCCGGTGATAAGAGCAATAAACGTTCTTACAACGCTATTGACATAAAGAATTAATATCTTAAGAATATTACAACCAAAAGGAAAGATTTTATCTTCAGAGAAATAATAATTATTATTACTATAATTTCCTTTATTTGGAAAAATAAGTCTATAGTGTACAGTATGGAAAATGTTGTCAGTGCCGTCCATGTTACATTACATTAAATGTCCACAATTCGACCAACAAAATTGTTAGTTGACAACTTGTATATCAATGCTTCCAGCATTTTAAAAGATATATTAGAATATATATCATATCATAATATATTTCTTAACCTATAAATAATATAGCACAAATTTTTCAATTAAACTGTAAACTGGTTAATTAATTTTATTATATTAATATAGCGTTACAGGTTCCTGTATCTTGTAGGAGTCATTTTCAAATATTTCTAACGAAAAGAAAAATATTTTAAATTTTGTTACATAAATACAGCCGTGTGCAACATTTTCTTCAAAGTTCATGCTGTTTAGTGCGTATAGAGAAGAAATTTTGAAGATAGACTATTCATATGCATAGCATGTATTGTTGATGGTTAAAATGTAAACAGTTAAAGGTTTTATATACGAAATCACCCTTTAGTATATACATCGAAGTATGTCGCTATTAACGACTTTTACAGTATGAAAAACCTTATTGTCCTTTACCAATTAATAAGTCCGAATTAAAATGACGTATTCCATTATTTTGTTAGATAGTGAATACCTATACGGTTTGCGATGATGATTTACCTTCCGCGCCTTCACGGCCCAATCCCAGGCCCGTTTGAGGTCGTCCCGGCCGACCTCCACGTAGTCTGTCGTCTGTGACACGTGGTGCTCGATGCGATCTACCAATTCTCCCTGCTCGCGCTAAGGTCAGTGGCGCTGGGAGGGATCGGGACACCCGTTTGGGCATATCGGGCAGTCGATTGGTTCATACCGTTTTATACACAGCCCATAGAGTATGTGTTACAGGATCAAACGGAGCTGGCCCAGAACGTTATTTTTTTAGAACAAGACAGTTTTTAGTTAAGTCATAAGGTGAAAAACAAATAATTAATAATCCGGTACAAACAGAAAGTGTTGAAGTGTTGTTAATATTATATACACAACGTTGTCACAATATTTATAATCGTTTCACCAATTATTAAATTTGTTACAATCAATTCACATTTGTGATTATTATCAGTAACGAATAATTAATATACCGCATTTGTTTAGAAGTAAACAATTACCAAGCATTAGTTACAATTGTTAGATAACAAATATAACAATACGCATTAGGCAAATTACGCACACACCAAAAGTCATAAGTGACACACACAATATTCATAGTTAAATTGAGGGAGTTAAAAAGCCCATTACCAAGTGTTAGTTGGAGCACCATACAGTTAGAACACAACATACAAAGCAAATGTGTTATGCAAAAGAAACAAACAGTAAAACATGGCGTGAACCAATCACCAAAATCTCAACATAATACAAAAAAGGATCGTAATGCAATAAATGACATAACAACCAACATAATAATATGGAAAGGAATAGGAAATGGATGTAATAGACGGGGACACGGGACGAACAAAACAAAAAACAAACTATTAGCAACGAATGATTCTGCATTGGTACAATGAAACTCACCCGTCGAGCTTTGCTCTGATATTTTAGGGCCTTCTTTGTGTCTTGTGTGGCAGTTTGTACATAGTCCACAGCGTGTTCTACATGATACTCAATGCGGTCGATCATCTCACCCTGTATCCATAGGAACTGGTTTATTTTACAGACTAATTCATATTATTTCATCGCTTATCTCTAAATCTCGGCCATATGTAGTATTGATAGAAATTGACATACCGTAATATAGGTATCGTGATGTGTAATGTGTTGTAATTGGGTTGGGAGGCGTGTACGTGATATAAGTATGTGACCTGGCTTTCGACGAGCATCGCCATGTCCATGAACATGTCGTGTAGCTCACGAATGGATGTCTCTAGCTTGATGATATCAGCATGTCGCGCCTCGATGTCGGCCAGCGTTTGCTTCGCTTGTTGTGTCTCCATTATTATCTGAAATCACAATGCCATGATATGATGAATTAAGTACATAAATTATTAATGAAAACCACATGACGCAAAGTAGTAACAAACTGATACGGTGTGACAACACTAATTTAAAGACACGGCTCAATAATGTTGAATAGAACATGGCGCCTTAATTATTTTAAGTAGTAATAAGTATATATTCATGTTTATTTACTTTTTGACACAAGGAAATGGAAAAAAAAATTTCTTCATGCAAACTGGGTAGAGATATGATTATTTAAATATGAAAAATTCATACTTAATTTCCAGGTTTCCACTTTGTTTCTTGGTGAAAGTGGATCAATTTAATGAATTATTATTAACCTTGGCTTTCAGCTTGGTATACTCCTTAGAACTAACTTTATGTATACAGTACACTTTACACATGCAGTATTATTAGTATATTTTAGAGGAATTTACAATGTTTACCTTCATCTTATCACTTCGGTAGTTTTAGTATTGAATTGTGTACTTACCCCCTGAGTGAACACTGCGGAATTTCCTTGCTCCAACATTTCCTCGAGCTCATCGTCTGTGGTAGCCCTGCCGGTGATCTCCAGCTGCCGTTGTATCCTGTTCTTGCACCGATCCCTGTAATCGGTCTGCGTCCGATTGTACTCCGTCATCACTTCCACGAACTTGCGGGACAGCGTTGAGTGTTGTGTTTTTCTTATCCTGAGATCAGCCGATGATTTGTTCGAATGTTCTTCTTGCTCGATGTTCTGTTCTATGTCTGCGAAATACAATCGAATTCGTTTTAGAAGATTTATTTAAGTAATTCAACACCGCTTCAACTACGCTGATTCATTATATGTAGAATACCCTCTAATATGGTTGAGTGCAATGATGGCTGACTCATCCATCATACTCGTGACCGGGTGCTGCTTGTACGGACTGTGCAGTTCGGGTTAGGAACACTGATTAGACTATTTTCTTTTGCAATAGCATATGCTGGTGGTCACTCTATTCTCCCAAATTTGAATTTAACAATAAATCTGTATTTCAATATTTATTTGAAAATAATACGAGTTTCTTGTCAGCTCTTCTCATCTTGAAATCAGTCCGAACTGAGGGTAGACTTAACATGTCATAAGATCTGTAATAGACCTACAGTAATAAAGATATTTTGAATTTGAAATTTGAAAAATAAATATTAGAATGTTATCTTAAAAGATTATTTAGGAATACTGTTTAACTGTTCATGCTTCTATTCCTATTAAAAAACAAAAATCGCGGTTTTCCCCAGCAGTAACGATGGCGTAGGTATACTGTTTTGTATCTGCTTTTAACTCTCAGGTGTTTATCCTGTAAATTCTACTACATTATAACAACAAACACGTACAACATGAGAATTTGTACTTTTAGAAGATATATAATAGACATTAATTGAGGATTAAATTCTTTAAAATATTTCTGAACATGAAAACGTACAACATAAGTTTAGTGTTTCGAAAATATACTAGAAATTATATTTTAATAGGGTTATGTTTCTAACATAAAGTACGAGTTCAGGCCACTTGGGAAATGTCATGGTGAGTAATTCACGTTTTCTAATTTTCGTCATGCGCGACTGTGCGTCACTTGTAAAAACCGTTTCATTAAAGTTACCTTGAAAACATCGACCAAGAGTGAAGTTACAGACTAATGAACTTAAAAATGCTAGGCTATTACTTACTTGTATACGCGTTACAAGTTTAAAATTATTTTCTTATTGATTAATTAGAATAAAACGTAAATCCATACAACTTACGTTTTAATTTTCCTCTGACTTTGTTGGCATTTTTCTTAACATCCGCCATGAGATCTTCTAGTTCGTGCTTTGTCTCTGCAAATAGAAATATATCAACGTTATTGTAAACCTTGATTAACATAGAATAATATGCAACAAATATCATACCAGAAGCCTTTCTAACTCCATTTCAAAATATTTTTTTCAGTTACGATAATCAAATAATTTCATAATTTTATTACTGTAATAATTTAATGCTTTAAGAAACGTGTTAATGTCTATCTGTTAACTTTGTTAAGTGCAATATTTTTCTATAAAGATATTCTAACCAAATTTTTCATTATTCCGTAAGATTTTTTAACTCTCCTTTCATAGGAACTTCGTCCTCAAAATTAGGAATATAGCAAAAATAAAAAACAGAATTAGCACATACACTTCATGGGCTAAATCTGTCTCTTTTTGTAAAAATTTTTCAGTCGTTCTAACGCGATGTGCTTTCACAAAGCTTCGGCAATTGCTTTTTATTTTATATTTATATATATATACATATAAATAGAAAGTTTGTGAGAGATAAATTAAAATTCATCGAAATAAACCAATATAGTAAGTAAGTCTCGTATATTAACTTCTATATCACATATATCTATATCTTCTATAACACAGTAATAAGTAATTTAGACCGTAACCTAGTGTACTTATTGTGATTATTCAGATTGAGCCTATTTAACAATTTTCTTATGACTATACTGTGACTTTGTCTTAATATACAACTCTTTTATTTAATACAGCTAATCTATACTTATAATAAATCTGTAGGGAGGTCAATTCTGTACATGAAATATATTTTCAAAATAACTATCAGGGGGTGATTAGTAATCGATACTGATGCCAAAAATGCAACCAAAAATTTGTTGTCTGTCTGTATGTTCGTTATAGAAACAAAAACTACTCGACCGATTTTAAGGAAACTTGGTACAATTATTCTTCATACTCCTAGGCAGGTTATAGTACACTTTTCATCACGCTACGATCAATAGGAGCAGAGCAGTGAAGGGAAATGTTGCGAAAACACATCAAAACCACTGAACCGTGAGGAAGGACATAGGCTACTTATTTTACGAAAAACGACGGAAACGCAGACGAAGTCGCGGGCAAAAGCTAGTATTGAATAAAAGACTGTACGTGAGTTATTTTAAAAAGTATCTTATAAAAAATAAAAAGTCATTTTATTAAAAAAATAATTCTCTTGTTGGTAATTCTAGAGACTAATCGTGGCTTATTTTTAAAATGTTTATTATTATGTTGTTCTAGGTTCTAATAACAACTGTTATTGCACAAATTTAAAAGCATGTGCATAAAAATGATAATTCTACGTGTTACATTTGCCTACAGAGCAAAACAAAATTAGTCGTTTTGTTTGATATTACCGGGCCATCGACCGTACTTAGTTATTTTTAGCGCTCGTTATCTAAACCGTAAGCGAATCCACTCCACTCTTTAAATTGTATAATAAACAATTCCAATCAAATAATCTGTATAGCGAGGAGCAATTGGAGACAACTTGTTTCGATAACGAAGTTAAGCCATTACATCTCAACAAGTCCGCGGCCCTTCAGTCTCCTTATAAAGACAAACTTCAACTTTCAGAACAAAAGTAATGGCCCCTAAAACGATGTAAGATTGGAGTGTCCTCGAAGAAAGGTTACGGATATACGATTAGTACTGCAGTTTATGAGCACTGACCGAGTTAAATTGCCTATGCACGATACAATTTGACGTCTAATTGGGCAAGTTAAAAAGAAAAACTAAGACAGAAATGTCAACCAGACAAACCAAACATCTATCAACTAGTACTTTCTTGGAAATTGAAAATATTGACCTAATGTAAAAATCATTAGCCATTCTACTTCAACACGAGGTAACATTTCTCTTGTATTTTAATACAAAAAATACAAATTCTTTTTAACGCTAATAGATAATAACCGCTAACTTGGTATATAGATCAAAAAAACAGCAAACAGCGTTGTATCAGGGTTTAAAATCCAATTTTCCGCAATATTGTGACACGGAAATTGCATTTCCTGTTGGAACACTCGAGCCTATCGGTCTGCCGTCATCTGTAATTGATTGCGTACGGCAACAGGGTTGTCATCTGGTTGCGATTTGTCCAGATACATATCTCTTTAATTCGCTCTATATGGATAGAACACTACATCTGTTGTACATACAATAAATACACAAATAGAATTCATTTAAAATTTGCACATAGAGCAAAAAAAGTGATCTGTAATTAATAAATGCTTGCGTAACCTCAACAATGGCAATCTATATGTTTACCTAATAATTAAATCATTTTCAGATATTAACCCATTGTACAAATAAACGAATGGTGCTACTATTCTGCAATCAACTTCTACTTTCACAAGCTTTTGTTTATTTCACTTCACATTGCATGAGTATTTCTGTATTGCAATATTTTCGTCTTTTCAGTTCGTTTCTAATTAATTTTTCAATAATTTTCGTGCTAAAATTTTGTATACGTACGTAATTCGAATAACAATATCTTAATGACACTAATGATGCAACGGAATTATAAGGTATGTAAGGTATCGGAACTTGTAATAAAATAACATCCGAGTGGTGACGGAATAAGAATACAATTTGTCACCACACTCCTTTACATCCGGAGGATGACATAAGATGCGGTATATCGGTGCAAGATAAGGAAACCTCGAAATAAAACTCTATATCAAATGTAAAGTATACATAGTAGTCTATGTTAAGCGTATAGTAAACGAAATCCTCATCTAATAACAAAAGATTCATGTCCAATACTACAAAGATAAATGAGCGTTAAGATGATAAAGAAAACAATGCAAGCTCGTTGAAATCGGTTCATTTGTTGCGATCTAGGTAGAGTAAGGTAGAAAAATCTAATCTTCGAAAATCACCTTTACTAGACATTCGTATACTATTTGTACACTAAAATCGTATTATTTTCACGTTTATTTTTGTATTTAAATACTTAATAAAAAATTGCGTGTAACTAACCATAGACTATGGTTTCCAGTTTCCATTATGTGGGTCGTCAGTCTATTTACCGTTCAAAGTTGTAAAAAAAAACAGGACAAATCAGTACCAAGCAGTATCAAGTCCATCGATTTGAACTTGTAACATTGTTTCTTACGTAAGTCGCCAGTAATAAAGATTATAGCAATTACATATTACAAAGCTTCATATTATATTACAGAACAAAATATCCATAAAACTGAAAAATATACGTTGCAATTGTGGAAATAGCAGCATTTTATAACATAACACATATATATGTGTTATGTAATTCGTAATATTAACTTTTCATATTAACTTGGTCATTGAAAAGCCAAATAAATATTTTCATAATTCATCCAGAATTTGTGGACAAAAATAGGTCAGGTTCAGGAACATAATATTTTATTACAATAAGTCACATGTATTGCTTAAAAAATGTCTTTCTTTTACTTAATATATATGAAACAATGTTAAAAATAACTTGAACGAATTGAATTATACTAAATATACAGTCTTGACTTTAAACAATTACAAAGGAATAAAAAAAGTAATCAGACGTAAATATAAATACATTTACACCGTTACGACTATTATCACCAGAAAGGCAACAGCTGACATTTTTTTTGTTTTGTTTATCCTTATAGGAAAGGCAAAGAGTCTAAGCCCATACAGCCCTTGTCTTCAGTATCTTAGTTCTTTTACATTTTTACAGTATTTTAGTTCTTTTTACATTCTTCAGATATCTTCTACTGTAAAAATTAAATATTCATAATTGCTTTATAAGTTTAGTAAAGTCTGAATAGTGCACGGAATATTCAGATCCTATAAATTTAAATCATATTATTACATATCGGATCATATTAAATTTAAATATAAATAAACATAATTAAATAAGTTTTATTAATTTGCTTAAAAAATAAACGGATATCGTTTTAAAGTCTATGCTACAGTGTAATTTTGAAGAGGATTGTTGAGAATAAAGAGTTCGACACAGAGGATTATTAACCTTTTTGGTTTGTTACAGTAAGTTCTAATGAATGTCGTTTGTATGCAATGAGTGACCACACTACATCTATTCCTACAAAAACTCTTATCACGTCACACTCACCACTGAAGACCGAATACGACCGGCACGACCCTGAATTATAAATGAGACTTAAAGGCAGTTATTCTAAGACTTATTTCTTTAATTACAATTATTGTCAACTAAATATTCGTTAGGTAATGATAACGGCTGACCTAGTTTTTAATTACTTTCGATTAGTACATGCATATTCGTAATATATAAAATAAACACACGTCATTAATTAAAAAATATGTGTTCGCCATCGTATATTTAGATACATATTCAACTCTTGCATTTATGGCATGAAAGATACTCAAAAAGACACTCGGTGAGCATATTTGTATCCCGGCGTGGGTGACTCAAATCTGAGTTTCAGATTCAGTTTGGCCCGTAGATTATTATGTTTAGAATCAATAGATACAACTATATATATATATACGTAGCTTGTACCTGTGATTTAGTTAGCGATATACCTTGATTAACCATGACGACTAGTGGACCCTGTTCTTTTCCAAGACTACTTTATGCAATACTTTGTCACAATTGTATTGACAGTAGTAGCAGATATTGCCAAGATGAAGAAGAAAACCACTAGGAGATAACCATCGCTATCCTTCAATTCTTGTCCCTGACGGTTTTAGGTAGTAAACTCTGAAAAAGGGCGAGCACTATAAATCTATGTATGTAGATCCCAGTACTACAAGCCCAAGCATCTGACAATAGCCCAAAGTTCCCAATAAAAAATGGACTTTAACTAAACCGTGAAGTCGTAACAAAAAAACTCATTTTCAAGTATAGCATTTTATACTTGAAAATGAGTTTTTTTTGTTACGTAAGATAATATAATGTTAATAAAGACTGTACTTTATATATGAAAATCAAACAAGATGCGATACCAAATTTTGTTTTAAATGTTTATGGTAATATCAAATTGTGTAGAATAAAATAAATATTTTATTCCAAATGAACATAATATAACTGTAACGTTGATTTATGAGCATTGAAAGGGCAGCTACTACCGTACCCTAGTGGGTTAAAATATAAAGTTACAAAGGTCAATGTGCTTAAAGTTCGTCATAGGTACCTACTTGTATCCATACTTATTACTGGTGAGATATCCTGTTACGTAGATTATATTCTAATATTGGTAGATATTTAAACTCTACGCTGAGAGAACAGTTTTTTTAAAACAAACAACCATATCCCAGATTTGAGAAATTCTGGACACAATTTGAAAGGCACTTTATTTCAGGGCAACATAACAGGCTATAAGTATGTATTGTAATATAGAATAATATTTACAACACTGACAAAGTTAATGAGCAACCGGGCGAAGGTAGGTCGTCTCTAGTAATCTTATATATACGTACGTGTATATATTTATTATATAGAAGACTTTAACTGACCACTTCATTTTGACTTATTAAATTTATGCATAAGAGCGCCTAAAAATGTTGTCATACGTATACACCGCAATAATTATACAGTACTTAAGATTAATTTGAGATTCCATTATGGAAATATTTTATGGTCAATTCCAGTTACGTGAACGGAACGGAAATCCAATTAGTAAAGTTACAAATCCATCCCTCCTTCAAATTGTTAAATTACATTGACGAACAGCTGAACTATGGTTTGCTACCGATAGCGAAATGAATAAGTAATGACTGTTTAATGATTGCAAAGATATGTAAGATAATTATGTAAATGACATACTGCATTAATAGTCTACAATTTTACTAATATATAATATATTTATATGAATTAGTAAATAACGTTTTTATAAAACCCATTTAAGTGGAAGAGAAATACACCATGTTTATATAATAATACTAGCTGTGCCAGCGGTTTCATCCGCGTTAAGTTTGAATATAAAATATAGTCTATGTGTTATTCTAATGCATAACATATATTACTGTAAAATTTTATTACAAACCGTTCAGTAGTATTTGCATGAAACATAAATAATTACAAACTTTCTCGTTATATTATTAAGATTAGGATATCTAGATGTATTTGTTATTCATTTATTATATTAACTATTAGGATCATTTTATAACAGCGATGAAACTACTTTAATATTAATGAAATGTGAAAGTGATTGCGTTTATTTGAGTTATGTTGCATCGCGCCTTATCAGGTTAATGAATCCTAGTGAAACTTGACATACGCATATAATATTTGGGACAGAAATATTACATGCGTCAAAGGTAACAAGTAAATTTACCATTGAGTTTCACCTGAAAATATAATAAAATCGAAATAAAGAAGATATCTATCTACGAACATAAAAATAAAAAAGTTTGTGAAAAAATAAAATCCAATTTCACGACACCGATTCATGTCAAGTTGATCCCTTCATTTCTTCGGAGGGAATTTAATGGATTCGCATTGATTCCTTAAGCAAATTTATCAATTACGTTAAAATCCTAACTTAAATTGAAATATAAAAAGTAAAGGCAAAGCGTACGTACCAAAAGTTTTGAATTAGACTATAAAATCTAGAGTTCAATAAATTCGTATTCTTTTTATTTTTATATGTGTAATGTATGTTTAATTGTATAAATAGGTATTAAGATACTTAGCACTTTTTGCTGCGCAAAGGAAAAAGTAACAGTACCTATGTTTAGTTACTGTTTAAGTAAACATAGGTACTACAGTATAGTTGAGCAGATTTAGATTGCGGTTTAGTTGTATTCTTAATTTGTCTCTTAATCAGACTTACTAAATAACACTAGACATAAAATATTATTTATTGTTACGCTTTAGTTTTGACTAATCGCCATATTGAAATTTGGCATTTCGTTGCCAACTATTAGTACAACCTAAACAAAATAATTTCATTAGCCAGATTCAAGGGTACAAATTGAGCTCGTTTAGTTATTATAATAGACGTTATCATGAACTTGTTCGATATGATGACGACAACGACGCTATTTAGGTCGGGTCAATGGCTAATCGTGACTATTCGTAACGCTCCTGTTGAGGGCCCAGTGCTGTAGTGTGGGTCACTATAGTAAACTTGCTAGCTAGTAAGTGGCTACAGCTAAATGTTCTTGTACTTTGTTATAATAATACTTTATTAAATTGTTTAAGGTAATGTATTTTTTATTAAGGGTTTTGGGCTGTTGTCAGGTACTAAGACCTGTAGCACTGCGACCTGGATAGATCTATTGTGCTCGTTCTTTTTTCAAAGTTCGCTACCTAGACCCGTCTGGGACAAGAATTAAAGGATATTCTTAGGAGCGAAAGTTTTTACCTCCTCAGAATATAGTGTATACGGTAATGTATAAAAGGCTTGGAATTGTTAATTACATCAAAATGGTATAGTATGAAAACATTTATAGCAGTGGCCGTGTTTTCAGCACAAATATTTCTATTGTTCAGACATAGAACGCTCGATCATAAGAAGATCATATAGTATATTAAACACCTACATCACCAGGTTAGTTATTGTTTTTAAGCGAATTAAAATATAGTATACTTATAGAGATATGCTCTCAGTTCATATATCCATGTCCACGTCAAAAAGCACGGGTCCGCAGCAGTGCAACTATATCCAGTGTCTCTGGACCGGACAATTTGACATATTAGCAAAAGTTGTTGTTGTCATATTATTACCAATATATTGTTTTTTCCACAAAGTACCTACAATAATTCACATACCAATGACGGTGTGAGAGTCGATTGGCCCAATAGACTAAGGAAATAATATGGAATGCGGGAAATCAAATATTGGCTAATAATATTGCATATACATGCAATGCATATATATGCAAAATACACTAACACAAATCTTTTTTTTTTATTTAGAAATCAATGTAATCTATTTTATATAATCGTCTATTTGACTGAACGATAGGTTGAAATTACATTACAATTTTTAAATGGTATGAAAATAAATGAGGCCGTCCAGGCAATCCCGTTGCATAGAGCTCGTTTAAAGAAAAAAAAAACGTAGTAGGTACTTATTGTACACATTATATAAACGAGATATTTAACATGCTAATATTATTTAAATTATCCCGATATTAGCACGCTGTAAATAATACAGATGTAAGTGTGGAAAATAAATAAATAAATATATCACAGCAAATATATTGTTTACAAAATGTATTCAATAGAAAACCACCGTGAAAAAAGTTTATTACTATGTATAAAGATGAGATAACTTTGTAATTAGGAATATAAAGTAAAAAGGTGTAGGCGTATAATCCAGGGTTTTCATGAATTTCAAATAATCTGGCGTCAAAATCTCGTCTCAACAAAGCCCCATAGCTCATTACTCACAACAGTAACAGCTACAAATATAACAAGCATATTGTGGAGTTTATCGCGTATCACGAACTGAGTAAAATTTCATGAAACATGAAAACGCCACCAGCAGTCTAGTAGCAATGTTATTATTTCTACGTAACTCGCTATTCAATAACCCGGCATATAACAATAAACCTATTTCACCACTATTACTGGTGACTTAGAAAATAGTTGTAAATTGTTACAAAGTATGAAGTTATGAATAAATAATATGTATCTATCTATCTATCTACAAACCACAATTTGACGTAAACCAAACCATTTCATCTTGTTGAAGTAAATATAATATAAATAATCAAAACTAATATTAGAAAGAAGAAAACCATGTTTTTTTGTTTGCAATAGGTATTACAACAACTATACCGATAATACAACAAAAGTAAAAAATAAAAAAGTTTCTGTCTTAATTGTCACGATTTGATGATTATTTTCTTATATATAGACGTATGTATGTACAATATTTATTTATTCAGACAATTTTTTGCACATACGATACAAATTTTATTAGTTAACAAACATTGTATAGTTGATGAATAAATACAAGAGGCGGTCTTATTGGTATAAATAGTTTATTCTAGAAAAGCGTTGGTTGGTATATACATAATATAGATTTAATGCCTTTGCAATGAACAGATATAAGACGACGCCTTCCCGTCTGTCTGGGTAAATGCCACCAATTTCGTCTTTCATTTAATGCGCGCCCACACAAACTTAAGAGCCTACGAGTAAGTTTAATCAGCCCACGCCTAGTGCATCCATAAAAGCTCTGTGCCAAATACTACGAAAGTAGGTATGTACCATATATTTTTAGATAAGGTTCAATAAACGTTAAGTTCTTTAAAGTATTGACATTAAAATATATCTAAAATTAAAACAGAGCATGAGTATTCTCTATATAACATGCTAGTAAGTACCAGAGCAACGGAATAATTGTAGGATTTTAAATATATATTAGTTGCAAAATAAATACATCTTATATATTATGAAAGTAAATGTTCTTGATACCCGTTATTTCAATTTCATTAGGGCAATATTAGTGCAGTCAGCTTTAGTAAATATTTTAAAATAAAAAAATTGGGTACTTTGCTTGTACCCATAGAAGATGAATTATTTGCCATTTCACACACATATCAATCATCGAAAGTAATCTGATGTCAACTTACTCTCATCTGACTGCGGTGCTGATAAGATGGCACTGTGCTTCTTCTTAACCTCTTCCACATTGGCTTGAATCTTGTCTATCATCTCTCGTATCTCTTCCACCTGTCAGAAAAAAGCATAATCATTTACAAAAAAAATCGGTCCAAATTTACTGTAATAATTTATCGACTTTGCAACCTCCTTTTTGGAGTCGTTCGAAAGAGTGTTGCAATTACGGAAATTATTGGCAATAGATAATGTTACTTAGTCTTGTGTACATCATAAAGTGATCACGTTTTATCATGTATATAGAACGGTACATCCGCCTGTGCTACGTATACGCTGGTAGGACACCATCGGAGGATCATAGGATGAGGATGAAGGCAAGTCAGTTAGGCTATCGTGATGATTTCACCAGGAATTAACTACTGAAAAGGGAACCCTGTAGGTGGCAATATGAATGACGTGACTGATGGCTATAGAGTCTCTTGGCCCCATTACTAACAATCCCTCTGCCTTAGTAACATATACTAATACATACCACCTTATATAGTCTCGTAATGACTATATACTGACGTATACGATGAGATCATCAAAGCCAACAAGCACGCGGATTAAAGTTATGACGTAATTTGAAGACTCGATGACCAACACCTCCGAATATTAGTATTTATATACATATACGTTTGTAAGTAGTGACACAGAAAGGAAAAGGATTATCCTCATTCTACGTCATTAAGGCAATAACAGTACGCGGTATGTGCTCGATTTTTGAAGTGACATTTTAAAGTTACAAAAATACACATCGTCGTATCTGTTATCCCGGATCTTCATCCGGGTATTCCGGGTATTCCAGTAATTATCGATGTCATGGTGAATGCAATATTTGACAAGCTCTGATTTCGCTAGGTATATTTGAATCTAAAGCGGTGGGGTCAAATCTAACGCAGTTTTTAGGATTGATGTTTTGGTCAGCAAGTCTATCGTGGCGAATTTAGTCAATTCATAGTGGTAGTAAAAAACTTGGAGGTGTTCCTGATTATTACCATATAGCTCACTATTTCCATTACTAATAATACCCCCGTAATATTTCGGTTCAATCACTAAATAACAACATAAAAGACAGAGCAAGGAAAGCGTAAAAACTATATACAATTGTATAAGAAAGAAACAAAGTTTTTATTTATTCAATCTCTTTTCGAAAGATTTTAATACAAGATTATAAACTACAGATAGGTAGTCAAGAGGATAAAGTTACTACACCAAACAGAAAATGTCATGAGTCAGTCAAGAAAAAAGAAGCTCGAGGCGTAAAAACCAAATATCAGAATCATCTTTGTGAACCAGGGACTCAGATTAAGTACATCATTAGTAAACGACTTTACACTGGCAGACTTAATACTATAAGCTAATTACTGAAGCGAAAAGAGAGGTTCTATAGTCAGTTAATTCACACTTTATCACTCCATCATTCAAGGAGCGTCTCCAAGTCTAGACTTAACTTGAATGCTTGCTGGCAATCAGCCAATACATCTAACCTGATTTTTTCACACAAAATTTATAAGAATAAACTAAAATATATGTAGGTTATATTGATTATATGACTGTTTTGATTATTTAATATATTTAACAAAATGAGGGATAAATAATTATTATATCAGTTAAACTAGCCAATAAAGATATTAAACCACAATATAATATTCATTCTTAAACACTTTGCTTTATTATCTAAAGTAAACAACTACCGCAAACTAATAAGGAAGGAAGAAGTCCGTAATGAATGAAAAAATCTAATAACCATAGAAAATTAATAGAATATACTATTTCATAAAATATAAATGTATTTCATGAAATAGTATATTCTAGAATAAAAATACAAGAGATGCAATAGGTTATACAGTAATTTATGTACCATTTAATTAAACAATTCAACACGTGTTTGTCATTTAGAGCAGTTAATGAGTAATAGTCCACTGAGGTTTGAATAATTAACATCAGTGAAGCGAAGTGCCAGACAGAGTTAACTGTCCACGGAGTCTCTAACTGCTCGAAATATATACTGTGAAACTATACCATTGCTCTCAACTCTCAACTAAGACTATTCTGAGTTTAAGATTCATTTATTCAATGTACTTCCTGAAGTAATAATTATTAGGATATTTGTTAATAATGCCTGTCAGATCGCCCTCCACGCGGAAACCATCACCCATTTCCGAATAGCATTCACACTAGCACGATCACCAATCTATCATCATCTATACTTCTATACTAATGTTATAAAGCCGAAGAGTTTGTTTGTTTAAAAGTACTAATCGAAAAAATATATTTTGTGTTGGAAAGTCCATTTGTCGAGGAAGGCTTTAAGCTATATAACATTAGGCTACGACTAATACAAGCATACGGGGAAAATTATCCATATTTCAGGACATTGTCGCGTGCGCTGCGTAAACGATTGAAGTTATCCAAAAAATATGTACGAAGTGTTTTTGATAACCACGCGGTAACAAAGTCGCAGGCACTTCTAGTCTAAAAATATATTTAGTTTTTTATAGATCTAACTTATATACTCCATTCGGAATGCTATCAGATTACTTTCAGGATTTACTGAAATCGTTTAATTCTTTGATTTGGACTTTCGCTCCTAAACATCTTCATTCTGGTCCCAAAGTTGTTGAAATTGCTAGCAAAGTTTTAAAATTTAAAATCAAAGCTTTTCTATTACCTCCCAATAGTAACAGTCGATTTTTTAACTTTACGATAAACGTTAAATCAGATTCGGACTTTTTATCTAATGCAACATAACACAATACTAAATGTTCAAAAATTAATCAGTTTATATTGAATGTTCAAAATTTATTTTCAGGATTTGGCGAATTTTTTTCCAGACAAATAATGTTTATTATAATATCAACCCTGTATACCTAGAACTATTGATGTAACCTTGTATAAATCCATAATCTCGGCATAATCGAAATAATTCACATTACCTTCTACGAAAAACCTTGTAGGAACGTAAAAGAGATTTTAATCTAACAAATAATGAGATTACTTATTTTTATATTCATTACGAGAACATAGGATGATTTCGATGGTAATCATATGTATGTATGCGGACATAAATTAATAATCGTCGGCCAAAGTATGCTCTTGCATGTATCTTATATGTCTTATATGTATCTATGCATGTATATAATAGGTCACGTTGCTTTCCTTTGCCTAGTTTCCAATTTCCATCGAGTCGTTCGCTTTTACACACATATCAAATTATAACTACCAAAATACAATTAAATAATGAGATTTCCGCTCTCCGTGTTAGGTACATTATTAAAGTAAACTTCTACAATAAATGTTTAAGTATACATTTGGATAGTACACCTTGTACAATTACGACCAAAAGGCCATATTTAATAATACAATATGTTGCAAGATATTCTAGTTATTATCGTCTCTTACGATATTCTGAAGTATTTGATACAGATGCATGAACTAGAATTGAGTCTAACTCTAAACTTATATAGGTTATTGTAAATAAAGATAGGTACTATGATAAAGGCAGTTAAACACTTGAAATATGGACTGACTGAAAAAGGGTAAAGTGACTGTCAAATGTTTGGTACATTTGTTTGCTCATCCAATATCCATTGGTTAAGAATTTGAGGCAATATACGATGAGGTTGTATAAAATATTAATTCAGTTTATATTGTTACTGGCATAACTCCAACCACACAGCAAACACGCTTTGTTGAGTAAGTACCAAATAAATATTTAATTCGATAACACTTTTAGCAACCTATAAACCTTTACAAGTTATTTTTATCACAAATATTTATTAATAAGTGTTTGACATCCAAATTTTATAATGACACGTGCTGTATTATTAATAATGTAGTATATATATTTTTATATACGCTCCAACTTATATTTCATAGACGATACGTATTTGAATGTCCACCAATATAGATCCACTTAAGATTCAATATCCTGTAGACAGAATACAACATATTTTTTTAGATTTAATTCACCTGTATTTTTTATTCCCTTTTAGAAGGAAATACCTGTGAATATAGATTTTCAGTATATTGGTTCGAGTTAGAAAACTTAGAAACAGTTTACAGATCTGAAGAATATAGAAAATCATAATAAATATATAAATGCACACATTTTAATATGCGGTTACGAGAATATGACGTAAGTCATAGGAAAACGATGAGTTCTACTTTTATAATTTTCTATTAAATTTTAATTATATTCATCGCATTTTATTAATAAGTGCTATACTTGCTTAATAATGTAGTATATATATTTTTATATACGGAATATGTACAATATATCCTGTAGACAAATAATTTTTAATATGGGATCAACCGGTACATTTAGGTGCTGTTAAATGAACATTTTAATATGAAACCCGTAAGTCATTGTTCTACTTATTTTTTATTTTAATCGATAACACTTTTAGCAACCTATAAACCTTTACAAGTTTATTTTTATCAAAATATTTATTAATAAGGTTTGACGCTCAAATTTTATTATAATTTTCTATTAAATTTTAATTATATTCATCGCATTTGTGCTATACTTGCTAAGGAATATGTACAATATACAAATAATTTTTAGTCGCTAGGTATCCATCAGATAATAAATTGATTCGAGCTCAGACCCATGCGATGTTATTAATTTCCTCAGATCGGTTTAATCAGGCATTGTCGCCTAAGTTCAAGGCTGTAAAGGCTCAATATGAGACGGCTAAACTTGTCGCTGCGTGGTCTGTTACACGCCAATTTATCAAATTCAGTGAGATATTAACTAGTGAATTAACTGGGATATCATTCGACTGTACGAGTATCATCTTCGATATGAATTGACAGGACTATACTGTTATTAAGGACTAAAATCCTTCTCAATCTGAACATAGGTAATCGTATAGGTGTACCTAAGGTCTCTAAACTCGCATTGAGTGCTACAAATGAACATGGATATATACGACTGGTGAAATGGGTAAGCGGCGTTATGATCTTAAAGTCTGGTACTGACTACGCATACAAATGAATGCTATCCAGACGAATAATCAAATTTGTAAAATTATTGTCAACAGTAATCTGACCTCAAATGTAGGTTAAACGTCTATTTGTAATACAACTTGCAATCCTAAAGTCTCTCTAACTCTTTCATTCCAAGTTAGGGAATAATTTATTTATTGTTTTCTGTTCCATTTCACGTTGCTATGAGGAATTTTATTTAAGTACGAGTTCGTAAACAGCGGTTCTATTATCTGTATAATAAAAAAATATTTTCTATTATATAACACAAAACTTGTATCTTCAATCTCAATCGTTTTATGTATGTTAAAATAAAATAAATATATTTAGAAATGGGATTAAACCTTTAAAAAGTAAAGTGTATCTATGCGATCTATAAACAGTCAACGTTTGGAAGCATCGTCAATACCATACATAACGAAGTGGTACGCACGTAAGCACCCCTCTCGCACATACACATAATAACATGTAAATGAATTGCACGATTATGATGAATACCAAGCGCAACCTGAATATTTATAGCCCCGAGTTGTGTTTTGTAGGGTTTAATGAAAACGTATGAAGCATTCACGTCACGAAAAGAAACTGGAGACGCATTATTGTCGCTTTGGGGAAAACGGAATTAATCTCGAGCAAAACTTTAGCAGAATAATATCGTTACAGCACTCGCATATCGATAAATAAATTAAGGTTTGAGTGATAAACAATCGATCTAGTTCCTATAAAGTATATAAGGAACTCTGAAATTGTGCTATTTTATAAAAATATTGACCAGAAATTAAACAAATTATAAAAATAACGTATCTACGTCTACGCAATGACATTTAATAATCCTATAATATTAATATTACAAATGCGAAAGATTATGACATTGAAAGTATTACCCTTTCACTCAAAAACTCTGGCCGTATTCGATTGAAAGGTCTACACAGATAGATAGGATACTTTTACATGAGTTCAAGCGGGCATTACTGCGGAATATAGCAAACTAACTCTGTCAGCGAATTCGTCCGCGTGGAGTCGGACGTGGAGTTCCATACAAACTTTCTTCCCCTATTTTGTTATACCCTTAAGGGGACATTTTTACATACTTTAAACGTCATATTTGTTTTGTCTATTGTGATCAATAGTCTTAAAAATAAGTTTCAAGCTTCCAGTTTAAAAATGACGATACTTCCATAGAACCTACTCAAAACATTACAATCGTTTTTCGCTTTAAAAAAATATAGACTATGGCCGTTCTCAGGGTTATGACTATCTGTGTACCAAATTTCATTCATATCGGTTCAGTAGTTTTGACGTGATAGTGCAGACAGGCAGTTATTTTCGCACTTATAATATTAGTAAGTAAGTAAGGATAACATAGATAGAAACTGAAATACTACGAATTCACCTGTAATTTGAATGAACTATTAAATAAAATAACAATTGGTAAAAAGAAGAAAAGAGTGCGTTGTGAGAGAATATTTTCACGCCAAAATCAATTAATCGAGTAGCTAGAGGAGAGAACATAAGACCGACGATTTCAAAATTAACGTAAAGAATTGTTCGACCTCCAAATATGCAGTCTTTCGGCCGTACATTCAAGGGACGACCGGTTTCCGACTATTACAACATTTACAGGACCAATGTTTAGGATTACATACAACGTGAAAATACAACATATAAACATTGGCCAGCAATGATTTGTACTAAACGCATAATACCTACTCATTAATGTATACATGCGGCATAAAAGTAATGGGTTTATATTGTTTTTGTGCAATTACGAGATCGATAAAACGGCACTAGGTACATAAATTGCGGTCGAGTTTTCCCTATTATTGTATTATTCATTCGTGCACAGAATAGTGTCTATATACAAATTCGCTGATAGATTTTCAGTATTATTTGTCATTAACTCTAAAGCATAGTTTGGTCACCAGAGAGTTTTATACATTACATTCACAGATAATAAAAGTCAATTTAATTTGTATTATTCAGCTATTACTCGTATCCATAGGATTACCTAACAGACGAGTCCTATTTATATACACAACTATAATAGTAGTTAAGTTACAACATTTTGTTGCAAAAATCTAAAACAAAAACATAAATATAAATAGCTGGCCAGTTTTGCATGTTCTTTAAAAACATTAAAATAAATACTCTAGAAATTATGTTAAAATGACGTCAAATTAATATTCATCAAGAACTTTTAATCATATAATTTACGAATAGATCGCTATTCACAATTAAAAAAAAAATATTTTGTCATGAGAAACTTTTCGTAAAACACGGGTGTATAAAAGAATGAGCCGTCAATTTTACTTATTGCAAAAAATTTGTCTTTCGACAAAGCGAAAATTTTCCCTTTATACACAAGTTTCGACAGATTCCTTCATGAACAAGTTTCAATGGCCTTTTCTATATTCATAGAAAAAGTTACGAATACAGTAGCAGCAAAGTCGCATTTGTACATTCCTAAATATATTTCCGTGATAATCGTAGATGGAGATAATTGTATTTTATTATAATTTGGTTGTTTTCGCCGAATTCGTCTGCTTTTTTTAAGTTGAAACGTAGCCAATGTTCATCATCATAACACAGCCTTTCTTCATTAGGACTCGTTCAGCCATTGAGTTGTGAATAAGTAACAAACGGATATACAGACTCTTTCTAAGTTATAATATGAATCAGTACAGTAAGGATAATTTATTTCTAAAATTCGTCTTATAACGCTTTGTCCTCACTAATTAATTATATGTTATGTTATGTGTATTTGTTACCACATAGGTATGTGGTATATATACCATATATATAGTGAAGGTCCACTATTCCTTTAACTTTTATATAAAGCGACAGCATGCTATCTCAGCGTTAAAGTATCTTTTGTTTGAATTGAGAGTTAAGCTAAGCTACTCCGATCGTATATTTTCATGCTCTTAAACTAAAGACTACACTACAATATATGGATAAGTTTACAATATATCACTCCATATTATAAATCTATCTTAGTAGGTATATGGGGGATCATGTACAATAAGTTTATTCGGTACTTTTGATAGCGCTTTAAAAATAAGACACAACATTGAATTGTATAGAAATCTATAGGCATTAAGACGATATATCAAGAATATTCTTGCTGAGGGATGATGTTAATAGGATAACCTCCGCCTCATATAAGCAAGTACGGGGCATAGACAAAAATATACCAAGTAGAAGGAAAGTTTTGCAATCGATTGAGCTGTTTACTGCAATTGTAGCCGAGCGGATCTAGCAATAAAAATTCTCAACCGTGTTTTAAAATCACTTATAATCTATATTGCCTACGTCATAAAAGTAATAAACAAATCGATAAGCATGGACGAAATGAATATAGTTAACTAAAAACTAGATTGTAAATGCTGAGACACGGTGCTATTTATTTAGCTTTAAGCCTTATAGTTTTCAAACGTCGAACTATTCTCAGTGAGATGTCACATACAAAGCCATTTCAGCCGAATTCAGTGCGCGAACCGACCCGTTTCGGCCAATTATCTCCGATACTACGATCTGTCTGATTTATGGGAGGTGCCTCCGTTAGAAAATGGACGCTGAAAAGAAAAATGTAGGAAACCAATTTATTTATTCCCTCCATACCTTGCAAACGATGCTGATAAGGTTTATTGAAATTTATTTTATGGATTTCATAATTATATCTGTATCGATAAGCTTAGTACTGGCCTTATTAATAAAGTAATGATGGATCGTAGATGAAATATATCATATAATAACAATTTGAAAATTTACATAGGTATACATATTCTGTTGTCTTGTGAAGTCTAGCAAGGGATAGTATGTAACTATTATTCATCTGTAGTTACATGCACAATAGTATATTTATAGTAGTACTAAAAATACATTCGTTGTAATACCTTCAATGCTTTTCAATTAACTGAAATTACAGTTGATGGATTTTTAAAGGAAAATAATTATGAATCATAATATTATGAATGTGTGAACCGCTACACTGTTTGAAATAAATTACTGTTATTAAAAATAATTGGTACCTACGTATTATAGATTTGTAATGTAATATTAAAAGGTTTACTTACCTCACTGAAGAATTCATCCATGAAGCCGCCTTCAACGGCGACGTTGACGTCGTCGGGCCCGACATCGTCATCGTCGCTTTGCGCCTGTAATTAATGAGTCATTAGTAACAGGAAAATTCTTGTCCCTCACGGGTCTAGGTAGCGAACTTTGAATAAGGCCGACCACAATAGATACAGATAGCAGTGTTACAGGTCTGAACACCTGACTTAAAATAAAATATTAAAAACATAATCAATATATTAAAAGATTGAAAAAGGCTTTTATCGTTAATAAATAGATTAAACAGCTGGTCACGAAATGCTGGTCGCGACACCGCCCCGTTATATGCTCATAAATAAGGGTTCCTGTTGAGTCCGAAACTAGTAGAGCGAACTAAAATGTTAACGTGAGCGATATAAATGATTATAAATGGATTGCGCTTAACAATGTTATTTTACAGGTAGATACCTACTTCTTCAATTATTAATATAAATTAAACTATTATATATAATCAAATTACTAATCTTACTAATATTACAAAAGGCGAAAGTATGGCTGGATGTTTGTTACTTTTTCACGCAAAAAGTACTGAACTGATTTAGATGAATATAGCTTAATCATCAGTATAACACTTAGGCTATTATTTAAATAAATGTACAATACATTATAAATATAATTCTAATCAATAGAATTCCACGAAGCGACAAAAGCGACAGTATAAGTTCATCCGATTTCATATGTGGTATATACATATTTATATGTAGTTATATCCAAAATTAATTCGTCAGATTTTAACCAGCCAATTTAGTAATTCATTTATTATTGGGGAGACGGAAGGGTACCAACATCGGGTGGCCACCGTACACGTACAACGCTGAATCCACTTATTTGCGGCGAGGCAGTCATTATTCAATTTATACAGAGGTCCGCATCCCTTCAAAGGCTCGCCCTACGCTACGGGTACAGTGGGAACCTGCCGAGTGGCTACGACGAACATCCTTTCGCTAACAACCCACAGGAAAATTACTCTCAACTCTCAAGAAACATTTAATGAGAGATACTTTTTATAAGCCGCTAATATTTGAGAGTGGTTTTTGTTGTGCTGTCTGCAATTTTCAAGATGTTCTGTTTTCATCACAATTTAATCTAACGGATGCTGGAATTAATCTTACTTATTAATATTATAAAGATGAAAGATTTGTATTTTTGTATGTTTGTAAAGAATAAACTAAAAACTACTAGACTAGATTTCAACAATTCTGGCAGATTGTATTAGTAGGACAGACATAGCAAACTATTGTCTAAAAAAGAAAATAAAGTCACGGGTAGTTACCCGCGACTTTGTTTTTTTTGTTTAACTGTTGTTAATATCAAAATATGGCAAAAAGTATTTTAAAAACTTATAGAAAAGAAAAATATAATTTATTACGTTTCAACTCGAAGTTATCATCAAATATTTTTCTTAGATAACGAGGTCAACAGTATTGATAAAATAATACCACAAAGAAAAAACACTTAATTAAATATTATACAACGATTTAGAACAATTAACAATGTAATAGTAAAAAGAGCATTCAGTAATTTGTTTTAGGGGACCAATCGAATTTGGGTCATGGCAAGCGCCGGCGCTACACTGAAACCACTTAAATTGATAAACTCGACTCGCGTTCCATTAGCGGGCTTAACCACAGATTTTTTTAAATTGTAAACAACAGAACTGCCGTGGTTGCATTTCCGGACCGTGCGATAACACGCCTAATCATCATGTCAGGGATTATCATCATTGTTTAAATTGTCGATGTATTTGTAATCATAGAGCTAAATCATATTTACGTGAAAATATAGACTCTAGATTTCAGTAACCTATATGTAATGTCCATACTATATTTAAGTAGTATAGTACGTTACGGCACTATGAGCATAGGAATATTATTACAGAAGGATAAATAGAAGGAAAATGGAAGAACAAGACAAAGCAAATTACGGAAAAAATTATAATCTTATAGAATCTAGAATTAAAGAGATAAATGATCGTGGGAAGTGGCAAGTGTTCCACCGACAAGAATGCGGCTCTTAAATTATGAACGAATGAACGTGCATTGTCGCAAAAGTTACATCATATTTATTTATTTATTAAAAAACCAGATTACTTTAGAATACCAATTTAAAATCGAACACTATTTGCATTAGCAGTATTTTTATACCGAAACTGAATTTTAGGGAAGACTAAACAAAAGGCGACATGATGAAAAACAGTCCACATTAAATTTGTGGAATTGGCAATGCTGCCTGAAAGGAAGCGTCGCAAGAACGTGACTTGATGTTGCAGGCGTCTATAGCCTGTGAACCGGAAAATTATTTAACGGGTTTTATGTAACAGGTTATTTTACTTTATGTATATGTATGTATGCATTACAAAAATATACGAGATGTTCATAACATCTGCAAATACATATAATAATAACAATTAGAAGACATTATGTTAATGCTATTGTTTATGCGCAAAGATGAGATAAGCAAGTACTAAATAGTTCCATAATACGTTTATTATTTATTCGTATTCATTTTTATTTGTTTCGATTCAATTGTCTGCAGATTCCAATATAAGTATAACCAAAGTTGTCACAAATATACTCACTCAAAGATTCAGATAAATTTAGTTTTTTTACAAAGGCCAATAAGGAAACATATATAAAAATATTTTTTGTAATCATCCGTACAAAGAAGGAAATAAAAATAATATGAATTAATAGGTTGAAACTTCAGATATCGTCTTTGCTTCATACAAGATGTAGAGTTCAGCGAGTATTGTCTTGAATTTCGGCTTGGTACAGTCATTATAATAAACGTTATACAAGATTGTTAGTAACTTCACAATTATTATAATTGATGGGGTATTTTAATTAAAAACTACGCCTTTATTACCTAATTTAACAATTTCGCCCGGTCACGCAAAGTAATATAAATTACCAAGTAAAATATTTCTAGGGGCTGCTATTAAATACTAATGCATGTTTAAGCAATCTTTGCCGTAATCCTGTCACCAGCAGATATTCTCATTTACGATTTTACCATACAGAAAAACATGACTACCTACCTTAAACATAAATTGTGGAACGCAAAACTACATACGGAATGCCGTCTACAAATAGCTTTGCCTGCATGAGGAAGTTCCGAGATAAATACATATGTACATGAGATAACCAAACCAATTGTTTAAAATATTCTATTACTCAAACAAACATATTTAATTTTAAATAGTATTTAATGTACATTAAGCATAATAATATTATAAAAGTGAGAGTGCCTGCCTGTCTGTTTGTTACCTTATCATAAACGGCTGAATGGATCTTAATAAGGCAATCTTTTATGTAAAAAAACTAGACGGAGTCGCGGGTATATTACATACTTTCCAATTTTGTTGCTTCTCTAAAAGTTATATATAGTCTGTGATAGTTCAAAAGGTAGAATTTTGCGAGAATTCTTTGAAGGTCGTCAGTGCTTATTTATTCCTAAATCACACGACGTCTACAGAGTAGGTATCTCCCCAGGGAATGTATGAATTTTGAGGAGTTGTAGTGTTCTGCTTGCGGAATACAAAAACAGTACAGTCAAACAAAATGAAAGAGGTTGGACAAAACTAAAGTATAATAATCATTTACGTCTGGTCAGTTTAATGTTCAGTTGTTTGGTAAACTTTACCAAACAACTGACTACTTCTTCTACTACTACTACTTCTATCAATTGACCTTTATTGCTAAGGGTATATCGTTCTTGTCCATGGTGGTCCATTTTATATTAATGTTTTTGTTTATACATTATCAATGTCTTTACTAATGCTTATATATAAAATTATTTAATTTAATTTATTCTTTTCTTAATTTCTTAAGATCTAATAAAAATATTCTAGATTGTACGAATATCAATATTTATTTGCAATTTATAATAATGGATAGTATTATATAATAATTTAAAAAAACCAATAGTACTTGCTTATTTAATAAATTCACGTATGTGAACGATTCACTTCTATTAACTAGAAAACGTTAGATACTTGAAATCAGCTTGCTCTGTTAGTACATTGATGCCAAATCGGCCAAGGCCAGTCTCCGCCCCAGACAATGGGTCGCCAAATTTTGCTTCTTTTTCGTTACTCTATGATTCGGTTACATAACACGACAGACAAAACAAACATTAATATCATAACAAATAATATAGGAACTTAGTTATTAATCGACTACAATTTTTTATGTATTGTGCGATATCTTAAACAATTATTATATAAACCAATTTTGCTGTTTCTCTTTTTGTCGACATGGTTTACTCGCGTAGGTATACCATATTAATTTTGACGTCATTAAAATATATTACACAGTATTATAGCCTGGAGCACAATCTTAACTGATTTTTATGACAAATAGACGATGTCATAAAAAACATCATAAAAGAAAGGGTTAATAAAATTAGTAAACACAAAAATAGATTGAAGATACGGGACAAGATAATGGCTTTTATTATAAAGTGCTTTAGTACATGCTACTAAATGGTCGCCAGTATAAATAAACTAACTTGTCAAGGGCTTTCCAAATTACACTTTCAAACGTATTAAGTAAATCGATACGGCTATAATTACATAATGAAGCTCTAATAAAATGGGAGAATTGCTCTAACAAAAGGCGTAGCATTAATAAATTGGATTTATGTATTACTAGAGAACTGGCTTCAATTAGAGAATATAATACATAGATGGGTAGGTAAACACAGCAGTAACGCATATAGGCGATGGGTCTTCGGGTATGGGTCTTAAATTTACATATTGTATATTACATAGGTACTACCTTAATGCCTAATTTACTCGAGTTTAATTTATTTTCAATTATAAAACATGGTTTCTATTCACAAAAATCCCTGTTCATAATCTATTTTCTGTTTTACTTTTTACTATTCAAATACTAAGTGTGAATACACATTAACGCTTTGCAATTGACATTTCAATACTATAACTATTTTCAAGGCGATAAATGTAATAAATATTAGAGGAATATGTCGTAACATATTTTCGTTGACATGCTACTTTTTGTACCTATACAAAGAAAATAAAGAT